GGTGGCTGCGATGATGGGCTCAAGTATAGCAGCGATTGTGGGGCTGGCGCGGGATCGGGCAGTGTTTCGTTCTGCTGTGCATGGGGTCGCTATGAGTCGGAAATGACTTGATGACACTTAACAACAACAACAACAACAGATCTTGGAATCAATCACAGGGATGTTTACTAGACTTCTATGTACCTAACCAAAATTCTGCATGGAGTTACAGAACTCACAGCCAAAGGAATATCCTTGATACTGGTTTAGCAAAAGGTATAAAATTAAACTACGTAAAAATACAGAAGTCTAACAGCCTAAAACAAATTACATAAAATCAAACACATAATTTATGATTATAAGTGTAGACTACTTTAACTGCCCTGTTATAGAGGATAAGGAGCTCTAGTGGTGCAGAGGTTAAAGCATTTGGCTGCTAACTGAAAGTTCAAAGGTTCAAATTCACCAGACACATGGAGGGAGAAAGATGAGACAGTAGCTTCCAAAAGGTTTACAGCCTTGGAGACCCTATAGGGCAGTTCTACTCTGTCTTAATAGGGTTTTGATGACACAGAATCAACTTGATGTCAGTGGGTTTGTGTTTTGGGGTTTATTAAAAAAACATAAATATCCATGAAGAACTTTAAGATAGAATCCAATTAAAGAAAAGACTAGACAAGTCTTGATGTACACTGAGTGGATTCTGACTCATAGAGATACCATAGAGCAGAGAACGGCTCCATGGGGTTTCCTAGGCTGAAAACTATACAGGAGCAGATCTCCAGATCTTTTCTCTCTGAAGCAAATAATAGCTTCAAACTAGCAACCTTTCAGTTAGTACCACCAGGGCATCATAGAGACAAATACATTTCAGACAATTTCAAGCTCTAAGGAACAAGTCTAGCGTAATAAACATGAGAAAAGTGAAACTTCAATTTTAAAAAATAAAGCATTAATTGGAACAGGTAGTATTTTGTACTGTTAAAAGGGATAATCCTTCCTAAAAGTGTAAATTATACCACTTCCAGACATTTCTTCTTTCTACCTTTTCTTGAAAATACATAGGTAATGACCCAAAATGCACAAAAAGCAGAAGATAAACTAGGTGATTGGTATCTTTTCAAAATTAAATTCTTATGTGTATCAAAATACTTCTCCAAAAGAGTAAAAGGAAAAACTACAGAAAGGGAAAAAATATTTGGCAATGACATATGTGACAAAAGGCTTATCTCTAAAATTTATAGAAAACTCCAACATCTCAACATTAAAATGATAAACAATTCAGTTAAAAAATGGACAGAAGACATGAACCAAAGAAGATATTCAGGCAGCCAACAAAAACATGAGGAAATGTTCACAATCATTAGCCATTAAACCAAAAACCAAACTCACTGCCGCCGAGTCAGATCCAACTCATAATGACCCCTCCTTGGGTTTCCGAGTCTGTATCTCTATGAAAGTAGATTGCTCAATCTTCCTTCCAAGAAGTGGCTGGTGGGTCTGAACTGCCAGCCTTCTGCTTAGCAGTCAAATGCCTTAGGTGCTATGCCACCATTAGCCATTACCAAACCAAACCAAACTCACTGCCATGGAGTTGGATCTGACTCATAGCGACCTCTCCTTGGGTTTCCAAGGTGTTATCACTATGCAAGTAGATTGCCCGGTCTTCCTTCCAAGGACTGGCTGGTGGGTTTGAACCGCCAGCCCTCTGGTTACCAGTCAAGTACCTTTGACACTATGCTACCAGAGCTATATATATATATAATAATTAGTGGTTACCAGGGGTAGGAGGGAATAGAAAATGGGAAGCTTTTGTTTGCGGGGTATTGAGTTTATGCTTATGGCGGTGGAATATTTTGGAAAAGGACAGCAACAATGATGGCAAAACGTGAGAAATATCATCAGTGTCCCTGAACTGTAAATGAGGAAGTTGTTGTGTTGGAGAATGTCATGCTGTGTATATTTTTGCCACAATACAAATTTTAAAATGTATAGTTAAATAGTGTTCTTCAGTAGCAGATTATTTATTTAACTACTTTTAAAACATTTTGTAATTATCTTCCAAAGACCTCCCTATAATTTCCACGATTCTTTGAAGATACATCTCTAGCCATTATCTGCAGCAAGTTTAGCATGTGACTCACCTATCCCAAAATGTGTCCAAACTCATTCACTCCTTCACATCTCTCTTGCTCAACAGATAACTTTTCATCTTACCTCACAAAGAAATTAGAAGCCATTAGCCATGAACTCACATAAGACTGAGCTACCACTTGTATGCTGTACATATGTATTTGCATTGTGGCAAAAATATACACAGCATGACATTCTCCAACACAACAACTTCCTCACTTACAGTTCAGGGACATTGATGATATTTCTCATGTTTTGCCATCATTGTTGCTATCCTTTTCCAAAATATTCCACCGCCATAAGCAGAAACTCAATACCCCGCAAACAAAAGCTTCCCATTTTCTATTCCCTCCTACTCTATACATATGTAAGGAGCTCTGGTAGCATAGTGGCTAAGGCACTTGACTGCTAACCAGAAGGCTGGTGGTTCAAACCCACCAGCCACTCCTCGAAAGGAAGATGGGGCAATCTACTTCCGTAGTGATACTGCCTCGGAAACCCAAGGAGAGGTTGCTATGAGTTGGGTCCGACTCAATGGCACATAACAACAACAACAACAACATACATATGTATATCCATACCTATTCTCTACACGTTTTTTATTACTACAAATCTGAAAGAATGCTCTTTTCATATTTGGGATCAAAAACAAACCCAATTCTATATCCCAAGTCTTCCTATATTGTCAGGCATTTTCATTATCATTTAATCTTTTTCTTATTTATCTCCAAGCTGGCATCTTTAAAATTCTGTTCTAACCAAATTTAAACACTTTAGATGCACTCAAATATCTCCCAGTCTAAATATGGAGAGATAATTATATTTAGTCATACACTGCTTATTTCCATTTCCTCACCTCCCACTTAGCCTTTAATCCATGCCAATTTTATCTATCCCTGTCCCCACCACTCCAATGAAGCAGTTTACACTAAGGTCACCAAAGACATCCATGCCTCAAGAAAAGAATAATATTCTCATCACCTCGATAAACTCTGAAAATGCATTTGAAAGCATTTATTATGGCAGAAGTAAAACTAAATAAGCCTCTTCAAACCAACAGCCAATAATGGGCCAAATCAGAAATTGCTAGATATTTCCACTAAAAATAAAAATAAAGTCATGATGACATATTTTTCTACATGATTATATGTTTTTTAAACATTGATCAAGAAGTTCTAGCTGGTGATCTCAGAATAAAGATTTACTTGCAAAGAAATCAGCCATTAAAAACCCTGTGGAACACACATTTACCATGAAACACATAGGATCACATAAGTAAGAACCAATTCAATGGCAACAGGTTTTTGGTCTCAGCTTCTTCTCTGTCACATCATTTTCACCACACTCCATTCTATGTCCCTTTTTCTGTTTGCTCTATTTTCCATCAAAATGCACTTTGTTGTTGTTGTTGTTGTTAAGTGCTGTTGAGTTGTTTCCGACTCATAACGACCCCATGCACAGCAGAACGAAACACTGCCCGATCCCGCGCCAACCCCACAATCCCTGCTATACTCGAGCCCATCATCGCAGCCACTGTATC